GACCTCTCGTGCCAGTAAGTTAACCTCAGATCTCAGGTTTATACAAATAGTTAAAAAAAATAATCATAGGTTTTAAAATTATAAACTGCAAAAAATAAGGGGTGGCTACTTAATACATATAGCTAGGAAAGTACTGTGTTTATGTCTGGGTGATAAACAAAAGCTCTGTGTAGGTTTACTGTGTTGTATGCACTCAAAAATTCTGTAAACAGACCTTGAAAATATGTGTTCTGTAATGGGTCTCATTTATAACAACACCAATGAACACTTAAATTATCATGTGAATGGATGATATTTGGGTTCATCACTACCATGGATTTATGACAAATCCACAGAATTTGTGAAGTTTGCAATGTGCAAACTTTTATCTGAAAGCCTTGCAGGTTCGCCACCAGAAGTAAGAAACAACCTATAATACAGTCAATAATTTGAAGGAGTGAATAACCCATGCTCCTCATGGGCAGTGTATAGGGAGATGTACTTTTTTTGTAAATCTATTTATTCTGCATAATCTAAGTTTATTAAGTTTTTTACATAGATAGAGCAGGTACAACAGAAAAATAGCAAATAGCGAAAGTACAAGCTAATCGGAGAGATAACATCAATAGCCAAATGAAGATTGACCTTAAGGAGTCTGCAATATACCTATAACAGAGCCACTTAACCCCTTTGTGACATGAGACATACACTGTACATCCCGCCACAAAGTGCCCAAATGACTGGCTACGTACACTGTACGTTACCAGTTATTTGCGGCTCTGCAATGCTGGTAAGCGCTGAGAATCAGCGGATACCATTCATTAATGGATACCTCAGTATAGAGGCATCCATTAATGAAAGAGTTAACCTTTTTCAACCTGAGAGTGAGAGCAGAGCCGCATTTGCAGCACTTGCCGTCACTCTGACAGCTGGTATAGATCGGGAAATCCCTATGTATACTGGCTTTTTACATTTATTTTTTAACTTTCAGCAATAGAAACATAATCAGGGCTATTCACAAAAGGGTGAAGAGTTTGTAGAAGGCGGGAGAAGTGAACAATCTAGGACAACATAGCTGAACTGGAAAGTGAGCTGAATTGGAGAATTTTTCCAAATCAGCAATTTTGTCCTAGATTGTTCACTTCTCCCGCCTTCTACAAACTCTTCACCCTTTTTGTGAATAGCCTTGTATGTATCTATTTCTGAAAGAATGTTTCAGTTTTCTGATCGTTGTTGAAATGATCAGAAAACCTTTAGTGACATCTGATCCTGAAATTCTACAGGATTAGTGTCACTAGGGTTATTATTGGCTGTTCTTAAGTTTGAAGCAGCCTAATAATAACCAAAAATTAATTAATGAATGTATCAAGCAGTAATATGGAGATTAATTCACAATGACTGCTTGATATAATGAAATAAAACATAAAAATTTAAAACAAATTTTAAAAAATAGTGGAAAGTGTAAACAAATAAAATAAAGTGCAAAAAAATGAAAAATAAATGTAACAAATAAAAATAAATGTAACAAATAAAATTATATAATTAAATATATTTTTATACTATCATTTATATAAAAACTAACCCCTTACAATGAAACTCTGCAGCTCAGCAGAAGGGGTTAATTTTTTCTAAACCCCTCATGACAGTGATGTTCAAAGTATATCGCTGTCACTAAGTGTGACACTTAGAGACAGTGACATTGTATGCCAGGTATCCTCTTTTAGCTTTAGCTTTTAGAGAAAAAAAGATTAAAATGTTAGGTTTTAGTTTTAGGCCGAGAAGTACAGAAAAATCTCTAAAATCCTAGGGAGCTGAGGTTTTTCCAAATAAAGGACAAATAAATGAATGTATTCATTGGATTTTTTTTTAGCTGTGCTGTTTTTGTAAAAAATATTACACATCAAAACTGGGGAAAAAGTGTTTTCTTTAAGTTTTTTCCTCTTTTTTTAATTTTATTTGTCCTAGGTGAGGAGTTAGGTACGCATATGTGATATAAATATATAGCCTTATCTGTCCTCTAAAAAACCTGACATGGAAGAATCACACAGCAAAAATGAAAAAAGTGTATCAGCCATTTACAAACAAAAACGAAAAACAAGCTCAGTCATGAAGGGGTTAAAGTGATATTAAAGTCAAAAGGATTTTAAGCTATTTCAAATCACTTACAGTGAATGCTGCTTCTTAATTTTTAAACATTTTAGTTTCCTGCAGAATCAGCTGGTCCCCTGAGCACTGGTCCTGATATCCTGTTTTAGAGTGACTCCTTTCTCAAGCAGAGTGCTATCCAGTCACCCTTGTGTGTGCTAGTAAGTTGTGTGTGTCTCCACAAATACACAGACACAGCAAATCAAGCTATTCCCCTCCCCCTGGTCCACTCTTCTCCTTTCTCCAAGCTAGTAGATGAACAGTTGCTGGAGTATGCTCTGTCCTTTGTGATCTTGTACTGGACAGGATGTTTAGGGAAGAGGAGCTGAGAGACCTGGAGGCAGCTGTTCAGAAACATGATGATTGTAAGTGTTTTGGCAACCATGTAAAGTAATACTTTGCTGGACAATGCATATTTGTTTGATCTGGTTTCATTATTGAAAACAAGTTTGAGAGTTTAATACTACTTTAAGTGGTGGAGAGGGTTCAGTGGAGGATGTAGTATTGTTCATTATAATTATTAAAGGCTAGAGAGACTGTTGGATGCAGGGGTGCAAGAGAGACGCTTGCATCTGAAGGATGAGTGGGCAAAGGAGGGGTCAGTAGACAGAATGTAGGTGGGTAGAGGGATGGAAGTTGGGTAAGGAGGGGGGAGTGAAGGTAGACCCAGTCTGAATAACATAAGGGGGTATTAGATCTTCTGCTATGGTACACTGGATCTGATCTGTGGGGAAGCTTTAAAATCGCTTCAGGTACACAGAACATTTTTATCATCTGCTGAAAATTTTGTTTTTTTCTTGTGCTTTGCAGGCTATAGAATGAATGTGATAGAATAAAGAATATTTTCATTGTATGGGGGAAGGGGAGAACCCTAGGTCGCATCCCCAGGTTTTAATATAGGAACTGTTATTTGTCAGGGGGGATTTAAGAAGCAAGAGCTTGAGACATTCATGTATGAGAGAGTTGGTTCTATTTTAGAAATATGCTAGGTTCTTCTAGCATGTTGTTGAAGATCTAAGGTTATTTTATGAAAAATGTGGAGATAGATGCAGAAGGGGTATTTAGAGTGTGCTTGGGTGGCCTTTGGGTGAGGAAGGGGGATATTTAAAAGCTCCAGTCTAGTTGTAATTGACTTTAACATTACTGTAGGAGCTGAAATGTTTAATTTTTTTTTTTAATGTTGGCACTGGTACATGTCACTAATGGCAGTGCCTGGCTTCCCATGCCTTTTGTTTCCCAATAGTTAGCTTACTGGGGGGGGGGGGGCGCAGCAAAGTTCTAAAACTTAGAGCAAGATTCATTAAACTGGAACCCAAGCAGATTCACTCATCCCTAGTCATGCTATCAAAATCTATAGTAAAGATATGCTATACATATTGTATTATTCAAGAGAGGCACTGTAGTACACAAAATTTAAGCTGTCATCTGAGAATGCCCCATTTCTTAATCATACCTCCCTACCTGTCGTGATGGGATAGGGAGACAACTTTAAAGGGAATCTGTTGTCAGGCTATAGACATTTAATTATTTTAAACTCTTAGCAAGCAGTAAATGAGGTTTTAAACAATACTTCACTGACCTCTATAGATACAGACACTGTGCAGCAATTAATTCTCAAATTTCACAGCAGAAGCACCTGAAGTTATCTATGCTGTTCTTTTAGGCAGCCCAGCTCACTCTGCTCCCCTGCCCCACCAGTGAGTTTTCAGCTTTGCACTCTTCTAATCTCTAATGCACACACATATCAGGTGAAATTACCTGGTATTTAATCCGGTCTAATGAGAGAGGGAAATAGCCTGTCTTCTGAGAAAGAGAATTTCCTGTAAGCGTGTCAGAGAAAGTTACTTGTAAGGATGCCCTTAATTACAGAGACTGAAACTTATGTCATTTCAAAATGCCTTTGTGCCTTTGTGAGAGAGAGAGAGACTGTCCTGTGAAATAGAAAGAGACTGGCCTATCAGAGTGCCCTGGTAAGAAACAAGGAAAGAGACTGTACACTGAGTGGCCAGATTATTATGACCACCCCATCGGTACTTCGTTGGGCCACGAGATGACTCCCCGAGATGACTTCGTTGGGCCGCCTCGTGACTCCACGAGATGTTGAAAGGTGATGTGAGGAATCTGACACTGCACTGTTGCCCTTCTGTTGTCTTGTACCAGTCTTGCCACTCTCCGTTCTGCCCTAACATTGACTAGTCGCTGACGGCCACAATTCGCACGTTCAGACCCAGATTTTCGGCTGACAGTCCAGTCTATAAACACTTTAACAACAGCTGCTCTTGAACATTTAACATATTCTGCTGTTTTGCTGATACTCGCTCCATGGCTCCGAGCGCCAACACCCCACATTCAAAGGCTGTTTAATCGCGCTGTTTACCCATATCTTCAGAAAAAAAATCACTTCTACTGTTGTGGTAAACAACCTGTTTCCCTATTTATAATGGTCTGGCCCTCTAGCAACTTCAGCGCAAAATTATAGCTAATTATAGCTAATTTGCCTACAAACGTCAGGTGGTCATAATAATCTGGCCACTCAGTGTATTATGACATAGAAAAAGTCTGGCCTAGTAAAGTGTGTTTCCACTTTCACAGTCATATTGGGATAGCACCTACTTTATATTTGATACATGTTCCCATTCATATTGCATAAGTAAAAAAAATATTTAAACAATGCTTTTGCAGTTTTAATTGCTTTTACTTGTGGTACGGTTTTTGGCATCTTAAAGGTTACATTTTCTACTACTTTTTGTAATGTTAGGAGGGATAGTGAGGGGTTACTGTGCTGGCTCATTTCATTATAATTTGTAAAGTAGATTTTAATCCTGCCTGTTCTGTCAGGGGGTTAAAGGATTAAAAGCCTGGATTCTGCATTGTCTGTTAATGAAGTAAATGAGAGAAACACAATCCACACAGTTCTGTCCTTTCTTTTACAGATCGCTGTGATGGTGCTTAGAAAAAGTTAGATTCAGCTATTTTGCCTGCTGCAACAAAATATCTAAAAGTTAGAAATATTTTTTATGCTGTGTGAATGGCAACACAAAACAAACATATTGTGGGCTTTTTTCAAATTTGACTGCAAAAGTGGAAATACACTTTAAGCTGGCCATACACTGTGTGGTCAGAAAATGGCAGAAAATGCAGCTTTGTTGAGAACAAACATAAAAGTCTCTTTCCATCAATAGGGTATGCTTTCCTTTTTAAACAAAACAGCTTCCAGCAACATTTGAAGAGTAACACAAAATAAAATGGCCTACTCCAACTTAGGAGTCTAACAGACAGTAGTTTTCCCTCACTGCTTCCTACTGGAGTGGCTATTCTGGCTTCCAGTACAAAACAAGATGCATAAACAATAACAGTCTTTATCCCAAAGTTTTTTAGCCAGACTTTGACCCACAGCTAGTCAAATGCTCTCCTGTCTCTGTCTGCATCCATCCATCCAGTGCAGCCGGGGTCTCTCTCTCAGAGCTCTCACTACTACTATAAGGCTAATTAACAGAGAGGAGGTGTACATGTCGGGAGAAATGCTTAACTCCGTCCTAGCCAGGGAAACTTGCCCTTTTCAACCTCTCACTGATGTATACTGACAGGCTTATTCACAAAAGGGTGAAGAATTTGGAGAAGGCAGGAGAAGTGAACAATCTAACATAGCTGAATTGGAAAGTGAGATGAATTGGAGAATTTTTCCAAATCAGTTATGTTGTCCTAGATTGTTCACTTGTCCTGCCTTCTCCAAACTCTTCACCCTTTTGTGAATAACCCTGTGAGTCACATACCCTGTCACAACTGGTAGGTTTTCATTTAAACATCCATATGAAAAATCTGGTCAGAACATTTGATAATGCCATTAAAGACTTGACGAATATCATTCCAAATTTGGTTTGGTTATACCAGTCGATTTTGGAAATGAATGGTGTTTCCTGAACGAAAACAATCTTCACTGTTAGAGTTTCATTCAATTGAGAAAAGCTTTTTATCTTTTTCATCACTGCAGCCGAAAATGATCATCAATTTGACCCTATTAACTATTAGAAAGTTAAATGGACACTTTTCAAACAAAATTCCGCTGGTGTTCGTCCAGCTTTAGTGTGTCTGTTTCTAAAAACTACTATCTTGCCTACAATGCAAAACTGTGCAGAAAAACTCCACC